ACGTGGTCATCTCCCTGGCTGGAGATTGAGCTCCTGCTGTAGTGGCTGTGATAGCTTCGTAGTGCTGTGCTTTAACCCATTGCACCACCAGGGAGGGCCCTCGTTTTATCAATTTAAATCTATAATTAACCGGTGGTAAATTAGTTCAATGTAAATTCAACAGTAAACATTTCTGCCAGTTCTCTTATTTATTTGTATCATATTTGGTAGAATTAAAAACAATTATTTGTATTTATTTCATTCTGCAGGTTTAATATCTACAGGTTTCATTGAGACATGGAAGCTATTTTGTTTCATAAAAAAATATTTTCAGTACAAATTCATCAAAGCTATTTTATAGTTTATGTCAACCCATTTCTCCCTAGCATATATTTGCAACATGCGAAAGCAACAAATGAGATTTTGGACATTATAAATTACCTTAAGGTTTTTAGTAGTCGCACAGCACTGTCAATGCATGGGTGAGGCCCTGAACTTTAAATAAGTCAGTAAAAATGTATTCAGCCTTAAAAGGGAGCAACAGTGCAATCCTTTAGGGGTTGAAGTTTGCAAAAAGAAAATTGGTTTCAGAACTTGTCAGTGATTCTGTATTCCATGTCACAAACAAGTTATGGATATGTCACGTAATGTAGAATTAGCAGCAAATAGAATGTGCTTCTTTTGTACTGTTACAAATTAGATTTTCTTTCTTCCTTTGAGAAGCCAGATTGAACAATAGAATACTCTAAAAAGAGAGACACTCTGAACACCAAGGCCACGTTTCTTTAAACCAAGTGCAGGGAGAATAGAGATGTCTGCCTGGCGCTCTGAATCAATTATCAGTGAAATCCTGGGAGACCATTAAGAGCACGGCCCACAGTCAAGGTTTGCTTTTCCAGCATTCACTGCTTTTAATAGGCTTAACCTTGGACTTCTATAAAAGGCTTAGTTTTTTTGCAAAGTCTAATTTTCTAAGGAAGATAATCATTTCTTACTAGTTGACAGAAAATGAGTACTAATTTTTTCTCTTAAAGGGTTAGATGATACTTAGCTAAGTTTGTTAGCAACTAACAGTTGTTTCCCTGCTAGATCACCATGGGACAGTTAGTTTCTATGGGGTCAATAGGCCACTCATGTGCTCTTCAGCTCTATCTAAACAAGAAATTAAAGTTTGTGTGGATGTAAACTTCACAGATTGGGTGGGGGAGCGAAAGAAAGGATGATATCAGTGAATAGTATAAACAGTATATTAAATAATGCAATACACACACTATATGAAGTTGAGAATATGAAATACAATATAATTTTATATACTATTACTAAACAAGTCATAGAAAACCATTGTTCATGTTCTTAAATGTAGCTTTCCAGATAAAAAATAAAACAGTTTTGGTGGCCAAAAAAAGATAAGTTCTTTGGAAAAGACAACTTATTCTGGAATTCTTACATGAAATGTTACTTGATTACTAATTTATACCAATATTCTGCAATTAAATCCTTTATTTTTGATTTCTTGTGCTAGGTATTCAAGTAAATATTGTGATTTAAATAAAAATAATTTCACTTTAAACACTATAATATGTAAATACAAATGGAAATTTATAATCTGGGAGTTTAACTGCATAAGAATGCCACAAGTATTGTTTATGTGTGTGTGTTTGCAAATAAACATTACTGTTTCATCATCCAGAGTAATATTAAAATTAAAACTGAAAATAAATATATATTTTTTTTCTGAGGAATTTGGTCTATTTTTATTTTTCTATCTTAGATCATTTTCATACTTTTTATATAAAGTATCATGGTGTCAAGAAAGTAGGAGAGACTAACAATACTTGCTGGTCACAGGAGGAGTTACTAGCATAACCACATTAACTCTGTGATAAGCGCTGAAGATCTCCAAACAATAGCTTTTAATGTACATCGCTCTTTTACTCAGTGGTAGCTCTGTTACTTTAAAACATTCTTGTTAAATAAACTCTACTTGTACTTTTAAACACAGTGAGAGAAAGAAAATGTATATATGTGTGCAAATAGAATGAAAGTAGTTCATGAAGAAACCCAATGCAGGAAATGTTACAAGGTTGTTTTTTTTTTAGAGATTTATTCGTACAGAACTGGGGTATAGGCCAGAGATGCGGAGGGTAAGAGGATTCACCAGAGACAGAATGGGGTACAGAACAGGCAGATAGACGAGGTACACTTCTGAGGGGAGCAGTGGGCGGGTCAGGAGAGGTCTGCCAAGCCATGTGGTCACCTCCGGGGCAGGCGGGATGGAGCTCATGCGGAAGTGGCTTAAGCTTCGTTGTGCAGTGCTTTAACCCTCCCCGCCACCAGGGAGGGCCCGTTATAAGGTTTTTTTTTCACACAGTTGATACTCTGCATTAGTTTTGTTCAACCAGACTTCTGTAGATTACCCAGATATTTCATTGTTGTCCAGCCTGAGTTTTGCTGAAAGTATAGAAATGGATAAATGTTGGCTATGTTAGTCATTTTGTGGATCTGTTTAACTTTATAAAGTTAGGATACAAGTAGCTCATTTCAGGATACCAAATAAAATACATCTTAGTCATATATATTTCATAATGTAGACCTGAAAAATATGTCTTACAATAATAAAGCATCTCAAATATTCATACTTGTTTGTTTTGATGCTTCACATACTTTATTGTCTTAAATAAAGTATGTTGTCATATAATTTGAGAAAGTTTCCTAATGCAGCAATTTATTTTCCTTTTAATGTCTGCTGCTTTTAAAAATTTGAGTGATATAATGTAATAAATGATTCTTGCTCTAAAATTCTCTGATTAAGTACTGGTGATTCATACTCTCTAGTACAAATCCCCTTGAAATAGAATTGTTGGGTTAAAGACTGAATTTTGAAAGAGGGGTACAGCTATATTGTCCTTCCAAAATATATTACTCTTGCACTCCCACACTGATTCTTTGAATTGTTTAAACAATTCAAATGTCTTTCTCTGGACATTTCAATAGAGATTGTGACAATAAAACAACATTAGCACCCTAACACATTTATAACTATATAACCTCAAAGTATCGGACCCCTCACTCTTGCTCTACACTGCCATAGTTTATAAACCATGCACATATGGCAAATATACCATACCATTTCTTTCATTCTGACTATAAAATTCTGCAATTTTTAAATATACTTTGAACATTTGCAGATTAAGTAATTTTGAGGAAAAAAATTTTGAAATCTGCTTTCATGGGATTCTGAAAAAAAATTTTCAAACGTTTATAATGGAAATATTACAACTTACTACCATGATGATAGATTTCAAATTTGACTTTTTTACAGCAGTATAAAAAGTATAATTCACTTTCAGGGCATCAAAGCCTAATGCTAGTTGTTGAGATATTAAATAAAACTAAGACACAATTGGCATCCTTGAAAATAAATAAAACTTTAATAAAAATAATTGGCTATCTGTTATTGCTTAATAAAGAGTCAAGGAAATTGAAAAGATAAAATAGATTGGGGATTAATAAAGTCTAGCTGGATCATAAATAAACATGCTTATTTGTTCAGTGGAATATTACTGTAAAATTCATGAATGTTTAAAGAAAAGCAAGATATTCTTTTTGTCTGATGCTTTGTACATTACTATAAATATTCATGAATAGTGAGTATTAGTTCAGGTTATCTATCTGAATATAAATTTTCAAATAACTGTCCACTTATTAGTGTTCATTGGATCATGCTTTTGAATATGAATTCACTAGTGTCTCAGATGCACTATGGATCTGACCCAGCTCATGAATATTCACACACACACAACTGATCTTCCTGAAAGTAATCACATCCATAAAGATGGAAATCTTGTTAGTTTTCAATTGAGAAATGCATTAGGATGCTGGTCCCAGAACAATTTCTCAATCCCCTTGTTTTCACCTTTTATTTTATTTTTTGGGAAAATGATAAAATTTAAAATATACACATATATACTGTACATCTTTCTTGATAGACACTGTGTCATTTTACCTTTAAAAAAATTGTGTGCTGAGTTTATTATGATTGTATTTGTCTCCTTTATTTGCTATGGTCACAGAAAAAGAATAGAAGTTAAACAGTATTTTAAGTCTTTACCCCAAGCATATTTCCACAGTTTAGACTGGGTGGTAGCTTCCCATGCAGAACAGCCCAATTTGCTGCTGACACGGTATATAGCTTAGGTGTGAAGATTCCACCCCCCCTCAAAAAAAATGAAGTGATGGGAGATAATCTGTTATCTTTTTGTGTAATAGAAAAAAAAATCTAAGTTAATTAAAATTTTAATGTTATACATAGAATACTATGGTTTTGGAGGTCCATAATTAGAAGTTCTTACTATTTAACCCATGATAAAGTTCACATTATAATTGCTTCTCTTTCATCATAATAGCATTTCATGATATGAATGCCTGTCCAAGATCAATCAGTAGTTACAAACTGCATCAGAATCAATAACCTGGGTCTTGTTAGCATCCTGCTATAATTAATTAACCAAAATGAATATATGTTGTTCAAAAGGATCGTAATAAAATGTTCACTACATTTCCATGCATTTTCCTTTTATATAAACACATCTGATAAATTGCATGCAACAAGCAAACTTTTTATCGTTTTATTAAATTTTGGTAACAAACCAAATTCGGTCTGTCTGCTATCAGGACACCATGTCAGGGTCCCGACATGCCCCCTAGGTATCTTGGGGAAAGGTGTTGGAAGCCTGTGGGGGAGGCCAGAGATGCCTCAGCTTCCTCTAGAGCATAGAGTAGTGCCCACAGCAAAGGATGGTGCAGCCCAAAATTTCACTGAGGCCACTATTGTGTAAAAACTCACCTAAAGAACTAATGCCACATCTAAAACTTCCCTTAAGTGTATTTTATCAGTCATTTACATATCCTAAAACTGTTTTGATAGCCACCGGATTAGAGTAATTTTGAAATGGGTAAGAACAGTTTTGGTTTTAACTACACATTTGAATTAATAGATTTGTCTTTTTTTTTATTACTAGCCACAATTGTGTTAAACGAGCTCAACTGGACGAGTGCCTTAGACGAAGTTTTCAAAAGAAATCGGGATGAAGATCCTTCATTGCTGTGGCAGGTGTTTGGCAGTGCCACCGGTCTGGCCCGCTACTATCCTGGTAAGTGCTCAGTGACCCAGGGCATGCCAGGTGGTGCTGCAAGTCCAGCTTGATGTCCCTTGAGAATATACTGTTACTTTCTGTTATATCGTGTGGAGAAGGTGGTCATTATGCTATTGAATAAGGATTATGGACCGTCCTGTGGTGCTAATGAAAAAGAGGAAAAAAAAAAAAAACACCTTAAACTATAACATCAGAAAAGCCGCAGGTGTGTGCAGGTGTGATTGTACTGAGCATCCAGCCATCTTCAGTGAGATTGTGAACAGATCCGTTAGGTGTTCGTCTATGACTAGAGGTCGTGGTGAAACAATTGTGATGACTCCAGCGCCAGCCTGGGCCAACTTGTGAGTCATATAAGAGAACTGAATAGAACCATTAGCACTTATTTGAAGAATTCTTTGAGACTTCAAATCTATATTTGAAATTTGCATCAAAACAGGTGATGCTTTTCTTTAGTCAGTGAATGCTGCTTAGATAAAATGAATATGGCAAGCAACAAAATTAAATTTCAAGGAAAACAGATCTTTCTTATGTGTCAACTTACATTAATTCTGAGGGTATCTTAGGGATGATATGGCCCATGCATATTGATGTGTTTACCAAGTTAAGATGAAGAGACCCTGTTGTAATGTCCCTTATTCTTATACACAAAGGAAAGGGAACCTAAAACAAACAGGAACATTCTATCTTGTACAGCCTCAGACCTATTGAAAATACTTTTAATGACATTTTGTGGGCATGTTTAACCTTTCCACTCTTTAGAACAAACTTGTAACTGGACCAGAAGTGGGCCTTCTGCCTGCCCCAAATAAGCTGTAACGGTACCTTTCACCATAGGGAACTTAATTGGCTCAGATCTATCTCCATTCCTGTTAAGAGTTTGGAGGCTTTTGTAAATGAAGGGGAGGTGCAGAGAGGAAGGACTGGGTGAGACAGGGGAAGTGCAGAGATCAGTTGCACAGTGTGGTGGTTCCTGCTACTGCTAGGTTGTATATTAATTTGGGGGAGCTTATCATGTGCTCTGTGGTAGTTTTGAAAGTTTTCATGATTAAAGGTTACTCCTGATAATTTGCTAGAACCTGTTTCAACTCTTTTTTTGTTGCTCACACACTGAAGACCATGCAAAAACAAACTGGCAAAAGTTTGTGAGAAAGGAGGAGGGGAAGATATACAAGAAAAGTGTTGAGTTTCTGTCAAACATTCCTTATAAGATAGGCTTGAAAATTGCAAAAATACAGGTCAAATTAGAGAAGCAAAATATGTTATATTTCTTGAAGACATGGCCTGAGTTATAAAATAATTGATAGGTAACATGACTTTACCAGCTACAATATATGAGAGAAATCTCCTTGATTTTCAACAAATGGAAAAGTTTGCTTATATTTCACTAATAGAGATATTCACCATAAAATATCATAAAAATGAAAAGGGGTCCAGTAGAAATTAGATGGTACTAGCAATGAATAAAATATGTAGGCATCATCGGACTGAATAACAGTCAGATGAGATGAAGACTTATTATGTGTCAGGAAATTGAATATTTTAGTGTACAAAATATGTTTATGCAAAGTCATGCTTATTTGACACTTTTCTGCAGTTTGAAAACTATTAAGATTTTAACATTTCTCAGTAGACTATACATTCCTTCTGGTGTATAATACCATTTTGATACAGGCTTAAAAGTTTATAGGGGCTCATCCCTGATTACTGTCTATGAAAGCAAGTATCAAAAAATCCCTTTAAATATTGTTAATTATGCTTGGATTTTCATGTAACAACACTTAGACCTCAAGCCATAAGAGTTTCCTCTTAGTCTTAATCCTCAAATTTGAAAAATATGAACCCTAAAAACTCCTCAGCTTGTCTTTTGATAGTTATTATGATCATTAAGCTAATATCATGACAGGTACATTGAAAATACAAATAATAGCCCTTTTCATAAGAGTGAATGTTAATGAGAATAATTTTGCCTAGTTTTCTCAGAATATGATAAATGGAGAACCTAGCTGTGATTACACTTAGATGACAAGGAAACTGAACTAAAAATGTAGGATGATCTACACAGATGAGAAAACAATAGCAAGTAGTTACTCCAGCTGATAGACTTGGTGAGAGTATGGAGGTTCTAACATATGGCCTTACTTTAGTCAGTTCTATGCAGGGTTGCTTGATAAAATTAAGGCTTTCCATTTCAATTTGAATTTCAGCTAAGCAACTAAGTATTTAGTTTTAGTTTAAGTATTTAGTTTTGTAGAAATACACTAAAAAGTATTTTAGTTTAAGTATTTAGTTTTGTAGAAATACACTAAAAAGTATTTTTAATCAATATTTAATGGAATATCTTATATTTCATTTTTGATACGTCTTAAAACTTTATCTTTCAGGCACTGAGTCTCCATGTTTGTAATATGGGAAAATTGGCTTCCCTGTCATGTTACAGTATTGTCAAAAGGATCAAACAGAATTTATCCCATTCTTTAATCCAAATGTAGAATGTTCAAATTATTTTTGAATCTATAAACTACCTTTATAAAATGTTTGCCATAGCTATTGAAAGTAAAATAGTCTGCACAAACTAGAATCTTCTAACTTGGAATAACTTGTTCAGCATTTTAAGATGCTATTTAGCTAGGAACTGAACAATGGGCATAAGTGGGTCAAAAAGCATGTACCTTACAGCTAAGATATGAACCCACTTCTGTCATTTGATGTGGTGGTAACCTCTGGACACTGTCACTGATCTTGCTGGGGAACAATGAGGACATAATGTTTAAGTAATGAGAGTGGTAAGAGAATGAAAAGAATTAAATATGGCCATTAGAATATTGCCTTCCAGTTGGGGGTGATATGGCCATTAGAATATTGCCTTCCAGTTGGGGGTGGTCAGACAGTTCCCAATGTCATGATTTCTGTTTATCAGATCACACATGAAAATGTTTCAAGTGATGAGGCCTCTATAGATGACATACGATAAAGACACCTTTGCAGGACTGTTTTTGTAAAGCAGTTTGTTTGGTTATTGATGACGATTTCAAGGATGAGTCATCATCTGTGTTCTAATTTGGTTGATAGGTGTAGAAATAAGCTGTATCTCCTTTCTCCTCTACTTCCTTTTTCTTTTCCTTTGCCTTCACTTTCTCTAGTTCTCCCTTTTTTATTTTCTCTCTCCAGTTTATGAAGTAGGTAAACCATATGATAGTAAAAACATCTTTGCACTGGAGGGAAGTGAGACTCCTGATTCATACTGAAACCTCAGCATCGTGTGTGATTTCATTAAGTCATAGCAGAAACGATTTCTTTACCAGTGAATTGGAATGATTGGAGAAAATCATCTTCCATGGCAGGTGCTAACATCATGTACTTATAAGTATAAGCCATTGGTATTAACTAGGTCCACTGTCCATTTTGTGGCCTAGCTGGGATGTCTTCCCCGTACCTCCACAGTTGTTAGCTGAAACTAATACCGTGTCTAGTAACATCATTATTGAGTAGTGCTGACTGGAAAATCAGCTTAATTTATGAGTGTTTTTCTTCAGAAGCTCTTAATTGATTTATGTAAATTAACTAAGCCTATTAAAACTATCAAATTGTGAAATTTTATGCATCATAAAATTTGTAGGTACATGCTACTCATTTCACCTATTAGTGTCTCCTTAAATTGTACCAATTACTATAGTAATTGGGATTGTAATTAGGAGTTAGTGGCCCATTGAAATGCCAATGTAGAAAACACTTATTCTTTTTAAATAATTAGTTGCCTTTATTAAAAAAAAAGAAGAAAATACAGATCTGTGTCATGTGACATTAACTTAGGATCTTATTAATCACTTGTTCTTTCTCTGCCCTCATCTGTTCTTTTTTAAAATATGGGATTACAATAAGGGAAACTAATGTATGTTGAGTTTCTGTTAAACATATCTCTGGGAGACATTTCCTTGTTATATCTGCTAAGATATTTCTAGAATAAAATGTAAATGTAAAAAAAAATGTACAAATTAGGTGAATGATGTTTTTCCCTATGAATAATTCTTCTGAGCTGTTTAACTCTTTTGAAAACGAATTCAAAAGTATTTTAAACATCACTTTAACAATGATGGTATTTATAGAAATAGTACTTTCAGTGATCTGGGACCTTAACTCTCCAGATTATTAAAAACATTTGTTTGTTAATAGAGACAAGTTTAACTATATGTGTTTTTAATTAAATTTGTTGTCATCAAAAAACTTCAAATTGAAGTGATTGATCCTTTTCTATAAAAATAATTATTCAAGTTTGTGTTTTAGCTAAGACTAGGCTTAGTTAACAATTAAAAAGATTCAAAACAATTGTAATTTGAATGTTATGGAAGCTTGTTCCTTCCTTAAGACAAAGAATGCAAATTGCATAGAAAGGCAGCTTCACATGTAAGTACCCACATGCCGAAGTTATTTCCAAGTCATTCTCTGAATATGATGTCTACTGAAGCCCACCATGGTGGTACACAGAATGGCATCCTTCTTTAAATGGCATTTCCTGGAAGTCACACAAGCCCTTCCTCGTACATGTCAGTGGGCAGAACTGAAGAGAGATGTGGTCATAGAAAGCAGGACCTACGCTAATTGAGGAGGGGAAAAGACATAATGGGGGACAAAAAATGTCCTGTTATGGTTACTCTAGGAAAGTCTGCATTATCATTTGTTTCTGTTCAGCATAAATTTTCAACCTAATGAGGGAGCTAACATTTCTAAGTCTTAAAATGTAGATTACAATACACTAAATGTCTAAATGCCAAATAAACCAGATAGTCTATAGCAATAAATTTGTTATTGCAGGACTTTTGAGAAAGATGAGGCAATTATAAATGATAGTCTTGGGGGAATCTTATGAACTATGGATTGAAATTCAAGCTAGTTAAGAAGAAAATCTTTCTAGAGGGAAGAAAAATACAAATTAAAAAACCAGGAGTTGAGTAAATACTGTTGGAAGCTAGTGAGCCTAACTAATTGGTTTTTGCAGAAGA